GCTAACATCCATGCCCATCTTCCTCCACTTTATATGGGACGCCGCCACAGCATGGGTTGCCAAGCGGTGCATCGGTGCGCACCCGAGATCTGAACCGCCAAACCCCAGGCTGCCGCAGCAGAGTCCGCGCACTTAACTGCTTGTGCCACCGGGCTGGCCCCTGCCCATTTTTTAATCAGGTTGTTTGTTTCTCATTGTTGAGTTTTAAGAGTTCTTGGTATATTTTGGAGAACAGTCCTTTATCAGATATGTCTTTTGCAAAGTTTTCTCCCAGTCTGTAGCTTGCCTTCCCTTTCTCTTGATACCATCTCATTTTATTTTTATTTATTTATTTTTTTTGGTGAGGAAGAGTGGTCCTGAGCTAACATCTGTGCCAATCTTCCTGTATTTTGTATGTGGGATGCCACCACAGCATGGTTTGACAAGTGGTGTAGGTCCACACCCAGGATCCAAACGTGAGAACCCTGGGCTGCTGAAGCAGAGTGCGCCAAACTTAACCACTACACCACCAGGTTGACCCAGACACAATCTCATTTTAAAGGATTCAGAGTATACTTACTAGCAGGAATCATACATTGCCATCCTTATGGTATCTCCAGTCTCCTCCAAAGTGGTAACCACTGTCAACAGTTTGGCAAATATGTTTTGAGTCCCCTTGCTATGCATTTATACAAATAGGTACTCTCAATCTCTCCCTCTCAAAAAAAATTTAAATGTCAAAAAGACTCAGAATTACACTTATGACCAACTGATTTTCAACAAAAGCACCAACGCAATTCAATGAGGAAAGGATAGTTTTTTCAACAAACAGTACTGGGAAAATTGGATATCTGCAAGAAAAAAGATGAATTTAGACTCTTACCTATACCACACACAAAAAGAACTCCAGCACCAGCCCTGATGGCCTAGAGGTTAAAGTTCGGTGTGCTCTGCTTCAGCGGCCCAGGTCCGGTTCCTGAGCACAGAACCACACCACTTGTCTGTCAGTAGCCATGCTGTGGCGGTGGCTCACATAAAAGAACTAGAAGGACTTACAACTAGAATATACAACTCTGTACTGGGGCTTTGGGGAGAAAAAAAAGAGAAGACTGGAAATAGATCTTAGCTCAGGGCGAATCTTTCCCAGCAGAAAAAAAAAAAAAAACATTAATCACAACTTAATTTAAACAAAAAAGAACTCCCAATGGATCACAGACCTAACTGTAAGAGCTAAAACTATCACACT